CAAAATTATTCGACAGCAGTGGATTTTTGGTTGGCTTACTTTATAGGGAGCCCTGGTGGCATAGTGTGTTATGTGTTGTGCTGCTAATCAAAGGATAGTAGTAGTTGAAGCCCATTAACCACCATATACAAGAACAATTAAGGGGAGCTCTGGTAGCCCAGTGGTAAGGAATTGTGCTGTCAACCCAAAGGCATGTGGTTCCAATCTACAAACCGCTCTGTGGCAGGAAGATGGACAATCAACGCCTGTGCAGTTTACTGCCTCTGAAAACCCACTGGAGGATCAGCTCTGAGTCAGTCCTGACTTGACAGCACACACCAACAACAACAACAGTAACTATATACAAATAAAACCTTACAAAGCTTTGGAAACCCGATAGTTGTTATGAGTTGGACAACATGGCAGTGGATGAATATGGGAGGGCCTTGCTGGGCCAGGCTGTTCAACTACTAAACTAAAAGCTAGTGGTTGGAACACACAGAGCAGCACTACTTACCACCTGGCCATCTGCGTCCATGTAGGTTACAGACGAGAAAGCCCTTCAGAGCAGTTCTACTTTGTAACATATAGGGGGCGCCATGAGTTGGAATCACCTCAACAGCAGCGGTTTTTGTTTAAGGGGCTGTATTTTTTTTGGTTGTGTATTTTTCACATATAGCTCATTTTCATGTCAGATCCTCCACTCGACTCCTCTCATCTCCTTGCCTTTGAGTCAGTTTCCACTCATAATGACTCTCCATCAGGTCTCTGAGGCTGTCAGTCATAATGGGAGGGAACTGTCCATCTTTCTCCTGTACAGTGGCTGGTGGACCCAAACCACCAGAGATGCTCAACTTTTGGGTTAGCAGAGCAACTCACTATGGACTATGCCATAGATCTGCAAATAAATGTGGTGGTGGTGGTGGTGTTATGTGCTATCAAGTCATCAGCAAACCATAGCAACCCCATGTACAGCAGCTCTGAACCCTGCTCTGTCCTGAGCCAGTCTCACTAATTCCAACACACCAACCCCAGTTGCCCCAGTTAACTGTATCAATCTACCTCATCTGGGGTCTCCCTCTCCTGCGCTGTCTCTCCACCCTTCCAAACAAGATGTCCTTCTCCAAGGATTGGTATCTCCTGGCCATGTGCCCAAAGTAGGTGAGATGGAGCTTCAAAATCCTAGCCTCCAAGGAGAGACTTGGTTTCACCCTCTCCAAGACAGACCTATTTGTTTTCTTGGCGGTCCATGGTGTGTTCAAGACGCTTCTCCAGCATCGTGACTTGAAGACATTGATCCTTCTTTCGTCTTTAGTCATTGTCCAGCTTTCTGAAGCATAACAAGTAATTGTGAAGACCATGGCCTGAATTAGGCACACCTTAGCCTCTAGACTGACAGTGTTGCTTTTTGGTACTCTGGAGAGGCCCCTGACAGCAGATTTTCCCGATGCAATTCATCTTTTGATTTCCGGACTGTTGGTGTTAAGAGTGTTGATTGTAGAGCCCAGCGAGCTGTAATTGTTAACAACCTCGATCTCCATCTATCATGGACGACTCAGAAAGAGTCATGAATAAATATAGCAAGGGATCTGATCTGAAGGGGAGGCAAGGTGAGAATATGTCCCTGAGGAAATCACACCTGAGTAGGCACAGAAAAATGAGAAAAAGCAACCTGAAGAGAAGCTGAAGGAAGTGCTGGGAAGCAGATGAGACAGCATGTGCAAAGGCCCTGTAGTGTGGTGATGAGACTTAGCTGAGGCATGGAATCGGACTTGCATGGCTGGAGGACAGAGTGCAAGGGAAGATAGGTGGTTGGGAACTTAGGAGCTTTGAGAGGGCAAGGGTCAGGCCTTGGAGGGATGTGGGACGGAGTGCTGGTTCTTGATAAGAGCAGAAGGAAGATGTTGTTGAAGTGCTTTACCCACAAAGAAAAAAAATAAAAAGAACAACTGGGTTAATATGAATTTTGAAGCAATATTTCTGACTGCTATTTCATGGTAAAAAGGTTTGGAAAGGGGCAAAAGAGAAAACAGGAGTGATTAGGAAGCCATAGCCAGACTCAGAGAAGATTGTCACCAGAGTGATGAAAGTGGAGATAAAAGGGGAAGGTCTGGAGGCCCACTGAGGAGGAACAAAACCCTTTAGGATTAGGGATGAAAGAAAGGGAAGAATCAAGGGTTATTTTCAGGGCAAAGTTTGTAGTACAAGATGGTGGGGCCATTCACTGAAGAAGGGGTGCAGGGAAAGGTCCACATAGAAGGTTCATGAAGCCATGGTGACTTGACATGGTGATTTGAGAAATCTTGGAGACGTACAGGTGAAACAACAAGATTTTGGAGAGCAGAGGTGGAGGGAGAGAGGAATCAGGGTTAGTCAGTGTTAAGATGGTATGGGCATGGGTGAGATTGCCAATGAGTCAGAAGAAGGCTGAGATTGAGGCTCAGACATGAGGAACCTAAGAATGAAGTTGCAGAAGACACAGAAAGGAAATGGCCAAGGAAGACAGGACAGGAAAAAAGAGAGAGAGAAAAAAAAAAAGAACAAGGTCCACTCAATGGCTTTCACAACACGGCAGCCGTTGCTTAAGTTTAGTGAACTTTGTTTAAATGAGGTCAGGATGAGGATAGAAGCTGAATTAGTGTGGATTGAAAAGTGAGGGGAAGAAAAGGGGACATAGGATGGTGCTTGATGTGAAACAGAAAGATGTTTTCACGATGAAGCGTTTACTTGTTATAGTAAATATCAACGGGGGGAAATCGCTTAAGAGAATAAGACTAAAGATATCAGAGAGAGATCAGTTAGTTCTTGGGAGCAGATGGTTGTTTCCAATGGGGATGCTTCCAAGGTAACTGCTCTGGTTCAGAGGAATGAGGTTGAGGTCAGAGAACAGGAATCCTACTTGAATGTGGACTAAGATCAAAACTGTGGACCATGGGCAAGAGTGGTTGAGGTCAAAGGAGGCAAGGACATCCTCTTGAATAATGGAAACACAGATTGAGGCAAGACCTGGGTGAGAAGATTGATCCAGAACTGAAACACCTGAAGAATGAGGTCCTTTCCTGCAAGAAGGCGGCAGGAGAGCCCAGAAACGCAGGCCTATAAGGTGAAGGTATTTAAAGGGAAAGATGGTCTTGAAGCAGCTATGGGAGCAAATGAACCAAGCTCTTTCTTCTCAAGGCTTCCAGGGAGCCAGCTTAGAAAAGAGCCCAGGTTAAGAGGAGTGAAGGAGTAGGCCAGGGACTGAGAAAGAATGAGCCCTTGGACTTGGGTGTGGCAGAGGACAGAAGAGGGCTGGATTCCTGGCACTGCCTGGCAAAACCAGGAATGTGGGCAAGGCAGGTTGGTTCCTCCTGGTCAGTCTTTGAAGAGGGTGGGCCCGGAGCTGAACAAACACAGGCCTGGGAAGACCCATATAGCACTCTTATAAAGAAAGAACGCTTGCTCTCATCGACAGGAAACAGAGGCACAGACACGGAAGGTTTAAATAATTTACTCAAGGTCAGAGAGCTTAACCACTTATTACTAAGTAGTTATTAAGTTCAAAACGTGGGCAGAGTTTTGAACCCTATTAGCCTGACTCCTAAGTAGGTGTAACAGTCACAGATTAAGCCCTCTCAAACACCAAACAGTTCCTTCCTCACCTGCTCCTCAGGGAGGGACGTTGATAGTATCCTAAATGTCTTAGTGACTCCCATTCCCACTTTGGTATCTCTGAATTGTGGAACACCCTGAATTCAGAGGTAGGGAAAGACTGGTTAGCGTCTGATGGTCCAGTGGTTAAGGAGCATTTAATGGAGAAAGACATGAAGCTCAGGTAAAAGAACTAGCCCCACTGAAATGCCAGGAGGGCTCAGAATCCCTCAGGATGGCTGAAATTGAGTCTCTTGCCAGCCCCAGTGAAGAAGGGATTATGGATTTAAGGTGACTAAGTAAATCAAAGTCACTACAGTCCCTATCCCACACACACTCCCCCACCTCCGCTGGTGGTGCTGTGTCACGCTGCTGACTTGACTTTCCAACTCCTTTGGGAGGTCCCTGAGAACAGGGATTTAGCAATTCTTGGATTCCTCCCTGGCCAGCCCAGCACTTTGTTCACAGCATTCAGTCAATATTTGCTGAATTAAATCTGGGACCCAGCCTGGGAGCTCAGGGCTCTGGAGCCAGACTGTCTGACTCTGCTAGCTTTGTAACTTTCAGAACACCATTTAACCTCTCTGGTCTCGGCTTCCTCATCGGTGTAATAGTAGCAGAGCTGCCTGTGAGTGAGAGAACTGGGCAAACACAGGCCTGGTGGCTGGGAGAACCTTGAGCTTGGCTTCCTGCTCTGCTTACTCCATTTTAAAACAAGGAACCACACATTTTACCTTTTGTACTGTGCTGGAGTGCATTCTGAGGTGGAATACCAGAGTATTTACCCCAGAGGGCTGTTGCAACGATTAAACGAAATAATCTGTCTAAAGTGTTCTGCACGTAACCAACGCACAATAAATATTGGCTATGTATCGTTGCAGTTAAATTACCCTGGGAGCCCATAGTGATAAATGAATAAAATGATCGAATGAATGAGGGCCTGGGGAAAGGGCTTCTGAAAAGGAAGATTTCGCTGGAAGATTTCAGGGAAAGGGTTTGTGAGGAGATGCAAGTGAAGTGGGAGCAGTTTTGCACCCCACATTCCTAAGGAGCTATTTCCTCAGCCGCTGGTTATGGCACGATGGTCCAGATCTGGCCACTAAGCTCCGCAAAAAGTCCACTTCGTGACAGCTGAGGGCACAGGTTTCAGTCTTTATTACGAGGGCGTGGAGAATGCGCCAGATTCTAGTTTCAGGAGCTGCATTAGATCTGCCGAGGCCTCAGTGTTCAATGAGCTCGACCTTGAGGTTCCGCGATGGCGATGGGGGTCAGACGTCCACGCTTCCACCAGCGGATCCCGGCTGCAGCCTCGCCCCGCCCAGGCCTGAGTCCTCGGTCAGCGCCCTGGGTGGCCTCGCGCGCATGCGCCAGCCGACCTGACTGCGGGGGGCGCGCTCAGAGGAAGGGGTTGGTTCCCGCCTGCGGCGTGGGGTTCAGTGGTCCCGAAGAGCTCGACGTGGGCAGCAGTGGCTGCGGCAGGCTTGCGGGCGGCGCGGGGAAGGCCCCAGCTTGAGGGAAGACGCTGACCGAGGCAGGGAGGGTCATGCCAACAGGCACGCTGCTGAGCGGGAGGGGCAAGGAGGCGCTGTAGGTCATCGAGCCCATGGGCGCCCCGACGGGCCCACCCATCGCCAGTCCTAGAGCTGGTGACCCGGTGCGCATCTGATTCAGAGTCTGTCTGCCTTGGTCACCCGCGCCGAATGGGTTGGTGGCGGATGGAGCATTGAGACCTGCAGAATAAGAGCTGAGGGTAGCGGCTTGGAGCAGACTGGGAGACTTAACACCTTATGGAGGGGACTGGAGGATGGCAAGATCTGGGGTAGGAAAGAGGATGCATTTAGGGCTGAGTTCGGAAAGGAGAGGCAGAAGAGAGCAGGAACCAGGGAGTAGCCTACCTGTCAAGAAGGGGTTCTGGGTCTTTGCAGGTTGGGGTGCCTTGACCAGTGAATCAAGATTGACCAATGAAGAGGCTGAGGGGCCCAGGAAGGACTCAGGATCCCTGCAGGCTCGGGCCTCCTTGCTAGGCTGTGTCAGCGCCTCGCCCAGCACATCCAGGTCAAAGGCATCTGGCTCCTTGGTGCCATTTTGCTTGGAACTGGGGATGGGGTCTCCAAAGAGGTCCAGCTCTGGAATAGCAATGGCAGTGCTCATTGGTGGATAGTAGGACTGGTCAATAATGTGGAAGGAAGAGGGCAAAGGACAAATCTCCACTTTCTCTGGGATTCCACCATCGCCCTGCCTTTTGCTTACCCACAGGGCTGCTGGGCTTCCCTGAGGGCAAGGCTTGGGCACCCTCCAGCCTCTCTTTGGTTTCTCTGGATTCTGGAGGTTTGGCAAATGGATCAAAGGTCGAGGTACTACTTAGCGCTGTTAAGGGAGAGAGATGGGAAGAAATTAAAGCACTATCTGATTCCTTTCCAGAAAATGGCCCTCAGGTAGGGTTTGCTGGCACCTTGGCACTAGAATGTGAGGAACCCAGATGCCCCTTTGCCCCTAACCCATACATGCTAGCCCTCTACTTACCAGGTGTGTTGGAGGCCTCCATAGGGACCCCCCAAGGGTCAGTCCCAGTGCTGGGGAGTTTGTGGAGGGGAGAGTTCAGTGCCCAGGGGTCTGTCGTAGGGGGTCCAGCAGGCAGCACTGGGGTCCGGCCCCAGGGCTCAGAGGAAGAGAGCGTAGGGGGCAAGTCCCAGGGCTGACTTCGGGACAGGGCATTTCCTGAGGGGACAGGAGACCAGGGATCTGCAGAAGGCCCCCAGGAGGAGCCGCTGGGCTCTGCGCTTGGCCTGAGACCTGAAATAAGAGCATCACGTACATGGCTCCATGTCCATCCTTACACCCCTCCAGGGCCCTTCCCAGTTACCCAGACCAAGTTGGGAGGCTGTGAGACCCATTTCACAGATGGGATGCTGACTCAAGATCAGCATGGGTCCATACTCAGCATGTTGTGTCCTAGGAGCCTGGGCCACCTTCCCGGTAAGGAGAGCCAGGAAGAGAGGGTGTTGTTGTTTCCCTATGAGCTGGGCACTTCAAGCAGGCTCCGCAGCTGTCACTATTATCCCATATCACAGAGGAAGTTGGGACTCAGAGACATGAGGGACTTGTCCAGGGCCTTCAGTTATGAATAGGAGTGTGCCAACAAGTGGCTGGCAAGGGAAGGCTTTCTGGGGCCAGCCTTGGAGCTGCTTGCAGCCCTGTATGCCCACCTGGGATGTCCCACGGGTCAGCAGAGCTGTGTGTGGAGGGTGGGGCTGGGTTGGGTGCGAAGATGTCAGCCAAGTCCAGGATGGAGGACTGTGGAGGGGAGAGGCAACATGGCTCAGAAGTAGGCAGGGCCCAGAAGGACAGGCCTTGACCTGTCAGCCCAAGTCCAGGTCATTCTCTCCTTTAGTCATTCCACAAACATCTATTAACGATCCCTCACTTTTTGTACCCTGCTGTCCACTATAAACTGTCTCCTTGTCCTTTGAGTATCTGATTTTCACAACAATCCTGTCAGGTAGTGCAGGTGGTGTGTCCATTTCACAGGCAAACCAGCTGAGGCTCAGGGAGGGAAAATGATTTGCCTGGAGTCCTATATCCAAGGAGAGGGCAGAGCCTGGCTTAGACCCCAACCCTGCCTAGCCCCCTCTTCAACTGTCCTTCCACTCAGCCCAGCAGAAGGGGCCACTATGGGAGAAAGCAGATTATATAACAAGCCTTCATCTTTAGGAGAGTGTCCAGGAGAAATATGGCCACGATAAACATGGGTCAGAAAGGCACAAAGATACCTGAGCACTGTTTGGAGAGTGGCCTGGCTACCAGTGCCCCTAGCCCCAAGTCTTGTCTTCCAGAAAATATGTATATAAATCCAAGACATTTTCAGCACTAAGTGCCTGAGCCTACCCTTGGTCTTGAACCACACCTCGTAATCCTAGAATGTCAGACCTGGAACTATTCAATATACCCATTGTATGGAAGAATACACTGAGGTTAAGACAGTGTCTTGCCCCAGTCATAAAGTAAGTTAGCAGCAAACTCACGGAGCTTGGATCGGGAGTCTTTCCATCTCACTTTGCCATTAGCCAATTACCAGCCTTGTAGATGAGACTGGGACTGCTAGACTCCCTATTTACCCACATTTCCTTTTAATGAACACTTAAACAATGTTTACTCTCTATCAAGCCTTGTTCTATAATTATTCAAAATACGAATTGATCTTCCACTTCTTACCTGGCTGGTTTTCAGCTTCTCCTCCTTCTTCTCTTCTCGCTGGAGCTCTCGGTCTCGCCGACGATGGACTGCAGCCCCTGCTCCATTGGCCACAGGAGAGTCATCGCCCCGCCAGGACCTCACCTCCTGCAGAAGAGGGCAAGATCAGGAGCAGCCCAGGCTGAGTTCGAAAGGGCCAGAGCACCGAGGCTGGAGTCAAGGAGGCTGCAGGGTGGGGAGCGGCCGAGAAGTTAGAGTCAGGTGCCCAGTGGGGCAGCAAAGCCCACCAGCAGAAGCCCACCAGAGGAAGCAGGAGGAGCCTGGCTAGGGCCTGGGTAGCACCTCCACCAGCACCAATACAGCTGGCCGCGGTGGCTCAGCCTCTACCTTCGTGTGTTCCTGCTGGCTCAGACGCAGAGCCAACTGCAGCTGCAGGTCCTCGTCCCTGTGGGAGGCCGGGGGCACCGGCTGCTGGGGAGGAAGACAGGGGTGAGCTTGGCCCAGTGTTCCCGCCTCCAAGCCAGAGGGGCAGCATCGCCCAGCCCCAGTTAAGAGGACATTGAGTGTGTCCGAGATGATAAGGATGGCACAGGATAGGACAGTGTTGAGGTCTGTTGTCATAGGTTTGCTATGAGTCATATTCAACTTGATGACCCTGAACAGCAGTTAAGGGAACTGAAGGACAAGCACTCGTGAGCGGAGGTGGACTGCCTGCCCCCAAACAGCAATTTAACCTTCCTGTCTGGATCTGGAATGCAGTTTAAAAATCAAGAGGGTTGAGCCCTTTTTTTTCTGGCCCTGCTCTGAAGCCCAGCTGCTTTCTGTCCAAACTGACAGATACTAGAGTGACCGTCCTGACTTCCCTCCCCACTCCCCGGTAAAGAACAGGGTCTTGGGTCTTAGGGAGCACCTAAAGGGGAGTGTTAGCATATCCCTGTGTCTTCTAGGCACATGTCTGTCAGCCTCCTCCCTCCTGTGAGGTATCAGGCCCATGGGATGCACAGCCTGTCCCGATCCCGCACACGCTGCCCTTTTTAGCTCAGAGGCCATGAGGCAGTCCCCACATGTCCCCCAGGACACAGGCCCTGTGCTTCCTTTGGGAGCAGGATGAGAGTATTGGGACCCAGAGTCAGGGAACTCAGGAGTCAAGCCTTTTCTCACCCTGACCCCCTGCAGTGTCCAGCACTCCCCCATGAGGGACCTCACCTTCTCGGCCTCCTCACGGCTCATGGCCAGGGCCAGCTGCAGCTGGAGTTCCTCTTCCCCTGACGTCTGGGGCCGGGCCTGCTCCAGATCAGAGGTGTAGCGTGGGGATGAGGATGAGGCTGTAACACATCAGAGCTCCATGACCACACTGGTACCCAAGGGCCCCCACAGCACCCCTACCCCAGGAAATTCCCAGTAGCTGCCTACTCTGAAATGAAGGCTCAGTAGGGTAACTGAGGGGAAAGGGGGCAGGCAGTCAAGAGCTGTAAGTGTCCAAGAGCTTGTTATGTGCTATTGAGTCAGAACTGACCAATGGATTTTCAGAGAATGTAAACTGCACAGAGGAAATTGCCCATCTTTCTTTCACAGAGCGGCTGGTGGACTCAAACTGCATGCCTTCGAATTGACAGTGCAGGTCCTTATCACTTAGCCACCAAAACTTCCTAAGTTTTCTATTCCATTCCAACAATAAATACTCCAGGCCCTCATTTGCAGAAGTGTAAGCAGCTTGAGCTCAGAGTGGCACCTGACCCGTGGTTTTGCAGTCGGATTTAAACTTGGGCCCCTGCCAGCGTTACGTTAAGGAAGATGAGAAGGTCGGGAGGTGTTGGTCCTCCAAGTCTCCAGCCAAGTGTGGAGGGCTTTGTGAAAGGGAGGGCCATTCCTGTGCGTTCCTCAGACCAGGGAAGTTCCCACCTCAGGGAGGAGAGAGAGCTGCTTAGCAGATGCCCCCACATTCAAGGTCAGCGGTCCTGAGTGGGGTGGGGAAGGGAATGTGCTGACGGGGCACACTGTGTGTGTGTGTGTGTGTGTGTGTGTGTGTGTGTGTAAGAGAGAACAGGGCTGAGGTGGAGAGCTTTCTCATACCATTCTCCCATCAACTGAGACAGGTAAAATGCTCCCCACTTTACAGATGAGAATAATGAGGTTCAAAGAGCCAGCTGCTTAGGTCAGGGGTAGAATAAGAAATCCTGCTTGAATGCAATGCTGGTGCATCTTCCTGCCAGAGAGCTAACATCTTACTTTAGCAAGCTCTTTAAGCACCTACTAAGCGTGCAGGGCGCTGCACTGCACACCCCTGAAGCCTCTCAACAAACCTTCTGAGGTGGGTACTGTTATGTCGGTGCCTTGGGGTTGCAGCACCAGGAATGGAACTCAGTCTCTCCTAAGCCCTGCCCCTGGCCACCTCCAGCAGCGCCCCCAGGCCTACTCACAGTTGTAGGAGGATGGGGACCCACGTGAGCGGTAGTCGTCTCCATGGCGACGGCTGAAGCCCAGCTGCCCGCTGCCGATGCCGATGCCCTCCAGCGCCATGCGCTCCTTGGTCTTGAGCGCGTGGGCGCGCTCCTGCCGCAGGCGCTCCTCGTCCCTGAGCAGTGCCATCACCTGCTTGACCTTCTCGCGCACGTTGACGCCCTGGTCCTTGCCGTCGCGGTCGATGTACTGGAAGTCCTTGAGCGTCTGGATGGTGTAAAGGTTCTCACGGCACTGGTGCGCCACGCGCTCCGAGCCCGTCTTCAGCAGGTAGTCCAGCAGCGTCAGCGCCTTGTACACGTGCCGCCAGTTCTTGCCGCTGTCGTTGAGCCGCCGCCACAGCATGCCCATGACCTCGGCGAAGGCCACCGTGTTGAAGGTCAGGTCCGCGATCTCCGACATGAGCGAGCTGGGCGGGCCCCAGGGGTCATTGCTGGTGGCCTCGCGCACCTTGATCTCGGCCTCGGAGTAGTTGTGCACAATGTTCTTCACTTGGCGGCGCAGCGCGGAGGTGGTCATGGTTGGGGACTTGGAGATGGGCGGCCCCCGCCCCAGCTTGAGGTGGAGGGCCGAGGGCCACCGACGGGAGGTCACGGTCTCGAAGGAGGGGCCGCCGTGCTCTCAGCAGGGCGGCGTCGACCTTAGGTTCCACATGGGTCTGAAGAAGAAGAGAACGTGGGACTCAGAGCAGTGGCCCACTCATTGGCCACCCCACCGCTGTCTTAAACAGACCTGGCAGGTGATCCCTGCTGGCAGATACAGCCTTCAGCAGTCACTTAGAATGCCATTGACATTATCCCCCATTCACAGATAGGAAGAGTGAGGCTTGACGTATTTCAGGAGCTGGATGAGCTCCAGCAGCCCCAGAGTCTGTGCCCTTATCAAGGCCACTAAAGTGATGCCAGGAATGCCTACTTGCCTTGCTCACCTCTTCCTTTTCTGCCAGAACCTAAAACTGACCCATTCCAGTTTACCAGTCTCACTTTTCTCTTCTCTGACTGTAAACTTTTGTGGTTTAATTTTCAAACATCTGTTTGCAGGAGGAGGCTGGTTCTCTGAGCCCTGGCCCACCCACATTTAGTTGAGAAGGTAACAGACAATCACAGTTGCAATGAGGAGGTGCCGAGGAACACCCAGCTAGGAAATCCGGGAAGACTCCTCAGGAGGTGATGGCTGAAGAGAAGGATGGGGAGCTGACCATCAAGGTGAGGAAGGGACGCTCAAGGAGACACAGGGAGTCAGGTCAGAACTAGGGGAAAGTCAAGTCTCAAAGAGCTCTCCTCGGCACTCCCACCAGATAAGGAACACTGAGGCAGAAAGGGTCAGGGCCTGCCCCCAGTCACATGGTATGTAGGTGGCAGGGCTGGGACCAACACCTAGCTCTGCAGAGGACTAATCCAATACTTATTGTCAGTGTCACCGGATTTTGAAATGAAGTTATCTGATTGTTTTACTGTCTCAATCTTGCCTTCTCAACCAGAATGTAAGCTCCCTGAGGGCAGGGCCAGTCTGAGTTTGTGGCAGACCTCCAATGCTCTGGTTCAGGGGGCAAGGACCAGCCCACAACCTTCCCACAGCCTCAGGACCTGGACATCAGAAACTACACCCAGGGCTGGGGCAGAGACAAGCTTCTGCTAAGATCCCACCAGAAACAAAAGAGCTTGTTTCCCCTGCCAGAGTCATCCCTTTAGCACTGATGCATGCGTACACACACATTTATACACACCAGCTCGCACACAGATACACACACAGTCACATACCAGTTCACATGCATGTTCATTTATACCAGCTCACACATATTCACATACCAATTCACCCACTCACCCACACATTCGTATACACCGGCTCACACCCGGATACACACACATTCCAGTTCACATAACACTCTTACATTCATCTGTCAGCTCACATACGTACATGCTCACACATTCATATACACCAATTCACATGCATTCACAGGCCAAGTCACACTCTCCCATTCATACGCCAGCTCGCCTCCATAAACTCTCAGGCACATTCACACATTCACTCACACACAAGCATTCATATACCAGTTCAATGAACACACACTTACACACATACTCTTAGACTTGTACATTCATTTACCAGTGCAAACTCATACATAGATTTATGCACACACATTCATATACCAGTTCATGCACACACACACACATACATTAATACTCATACACATAGACACACTTTCACATACTCTCATTCACACACCTGATAATAGGTACACCAACTCATACACACACACACACACACACACACACAGTCCCACATATGCACACATACATTAATAAACACAGTCTGCAGAGCCTCCACCTCACCTGTGATGCCCCCTAGACATCTGAGATGTCACCTCTCTGCTCTGCCCTCCATCCTCAGCCTCACTGTGTCCAGCTGGTCCCCAGGCTGTCAGAAGGCAGGATTCAGGCAGGAGGAGGCTGGGCTGCCAGCACCCCCACCAAAGCTCCCTACACCTCCCCCAGCTCCCCTCTCCCTCCCCACTGCCTGCCAACCTGGCGGCTTAAAGGAACCAACACCTCACTCTGTTCAAAGTGGCCTCCTCAGGCCTTGGTGGTTTCACTGGGGCCCAGGTGCTGAGGAGAGTACCCAACCGGGGGAGAGAGAGAGACGGTGTACAGAGTGCCTGTGGAGCTGTGCCTACCTCTCGCCTGCCGTGTGTCTGTCTGTCCAGTCAGTAGCAGGCCTTCTGTGGGGATACCACTGCCACCACTCGTTTAATTCCTGCCCTCCTCCTCACCAGTGACTCAGACCTGCCTTCACCTCCCCACCTGGCGGGCTGGCGGGCGGTGGAGTCAAGATGGGAAATAATTGCGCACCCAGCCCGCCCCAGTGCACACCTCTCCTGGGGGTTGGCCACTGAGACCAGCAGAACCAGTCAGGCATCATGACTGCAACCCGGGGCCCTGTGTGGGCCCTACAGTATCCTGTCGGCCTGGACTGGGCCGGGGCTTCAGTGGGAAGGCACCTCAGGGTGGACCCAGCAGCCCTGGCTGGCCTTTTCTCCCTCAAGGTGGACTCCAAGAAGCTTTGTTGGGTCACCTCTGCTAGAACTGGGGGAGGGGCAGCCAGAAAGCCTAGAGAGGGCACCCCCACCTCCTTCCTCAGAAGTGTGAGGGGAAAAGGTGGGGAGGAAGTGGGGGCAGGGTGAGAGCAGGGAGCACGGAGGGGAAGGAGGAGGAGGGGAGGAAGGAATGCGGGAGGGAGCGGCTGGGAGCACTGCCAGCCGCGTTACAGCAAAGGGTTTTATTGAACACAATATGCCCAGAAATAAAAGGGGGTGAAACAGAAACCCAGCAGCTGATAAGGCGGTGGCAGCGGCAGCGGCAGCCCCAGGCAGCCAGTATGGAATTACTGCAGTGACCTTGAGCCAGACCCTGTCAGGTGGAGGGAAGGGCTTACAGAAGGCAGTGCCTGAGATCAGAGAAGGGGGAGACGGCGAGGCAGGTGGGAAGAGGGCCCAGCAGGCTGGGAAGGACGGAGGACCAGTGGAGGGTGGAACGGTGTCAGAGGGCAGAGGTGGGTTCCAGGGGCACAGTGTCAGCTTTGCTGAATATAGTGTCCCATGGAGAACTTTGGGTAGCTGCTGAGCTCCTGCTTCACAGGGCTGGAGACCTAGATGGACCCCCTGAAAGTTAAGGCTGAGGAAGCTGATGACGTCTCTGAAGGGGGGCTGGGGAGATGGGAAGACCCAGATCTGTCCAGTCAGGAGCAGTTTGGTCACAGTCTGTGTGTACCCCCAGCAGTCCCCACCCATGCCCTCCTCTGCTCAGTAAGGCTTCAGCCCCTGCACCCCCATCAGGTCGGTGTGAACAGTGGCGTGAACTTGCTGACTTCTGACTGCTAAGGGACAGGAGAGACAAGACTAAGTTTCGGTCAACTTCGTAGGCTCTCGGATGGCTGTGTCCTGGGGCACGGGGCAGGGCTGCCTGCAGCCCTGGGGCCAGAAATGCATGAAGAGCGGGGGAGCTAGGGGCTTGCAAAGAAGTGCAAGAGTCTGTGCTCCCCACAGGGTGGGACAAAGGCAAAGACACCGGTTCCAGGACAGGAAACACCCCTCAGCTCCCTTCCAGGGGGCTGCAGGGAGGGTGAAGCAAAAAGAGATGCCTCCAGGTGCCTCCAGGTCCTGTCAACTTTCCCTCATGCCTTGGAGGAAGACTAAGCCCATAGTCCTCGCCTTGCCCCTCCCTTCCTTCCATGCAGGGACACCCCCTGTCCCATCCCAGGAGCTTACCTCTGGTGCAGGCTCCCCTGGCCCCAGCCCCAAGGTCCTGAGCAACCTCTGCAGGGACCCTCTGACCCGCTCAGCAGGAGGATGGCACAGTCTCGGGAGCTGCGTCTCCAGAGCCATCCACCACGGCCCCTCCACCTGGAGACCCTCCCTCTGTAAGGAGGTACAGACCCCAGGAAGGGCAGTGGCTCTGCTTCCTGCCTGTTTGCCTCAACCCCAAGCGGCTGGCCGCAGCGGAGGAAAGTTGCTGGGCTGGCCCGGCAGGTCTGTCTCAGCAGTAACAGGACACAGGAGGGAGTGTGAGCGAGCGAGCATTAACCCCTTCCTGCTGGCCTGGCGGGCCGTGCCTCCAGAGGAGGGATGCCCACCTGCTGTCTGTCCCCTAGGAGTGTGCATCCGGAGCCAAGGCTGGCCACCCACTTCCGTCCCCTACCCCACCCCCACCCCTATCCCGCAGTTAACCCTTTCTCTCAGGGATGGAGTGGGAGGATCATACCTCCCACCCCCGCCCCGCCCCCACTTCCTTGTCTGGGCTAGGTGGACCCTGGAAAGTGTAAGACCACTCCCCAGGGCTGCCTTTGGGTGAAGCTGCTGTCTCCTTGTGGGCACAGCCCCCTTTCATGGCCCCAGATTCTGCCTCAACACAGAGACCGAGCCTCCTGCTCTCTTCCAGCATCCTTCCTGGTCAGAAGCTACTTGATCAGAAACAGCAAGTGCAAGTCCAAGGGCTTCCAGCCTGTGGCTACTCCCTCAGTTCTCCAGCCTCCCCTCCCTTCCCTTTTTTTCCTGCCCCATTGCCACTTGCTCCTAAAGTTCTGGAAATCCAGCCCAGAATGTCATTACTGGCAAAAACAGCCCCACTCACAGTATTGAATTTGAGACAATATAGCACCTTTCTAAGAACCATCTCTTAAACCTATAGCTACTCTGAGCAAGAGAGAGAAACAAAGGCCAGTTGTTTTTAAGGCAATAATAAAAATAAATGGCTCCAGAAGGTGATGCTTTGCCATGGAGGAAGAGTTAAGACCCAGTGCTCCATGGGAAGATTTTGCTGAAGGCAAAGACCTCCCAGATTTAGGAAGTATGATTGGATGATCCTCAGGGACTGGGGCGGGGGGCGGGCGGGGGCGGTGTCTGTGGACCCAACGAAGTGGGCAGATCCAGGGAGTCAGCTCCCAGGGGCTCTGGTCCTCTAGTCCCTGTCATACTTGACAATGATGCTTCAGAAATATGCAACTGAGAGAAATAGGACCCTGAGAGGGGGGCCTGGGAAGACCAGAGGTGCAGGCAGGTGCAGGCTAGGAGGGGCGCTGTCACTTCCTTGTCCAACCACCCACCTGTCCTTCTGACTGTTCTCCCACATATCACCACACTTGGTGGTGTCTATCTTCTCTTCCTCCTGGATGGCTCTTTGTACTGGTGGTGGTGCTGGGAATCTGAGCACAGGGTGGGATGAGGAGGGCGGAGTTGACCTCATCAAAATCCAGCATCCAAGACACAAAGGCAAACAGAAATGTTAGAAACTTAAAAGTTCTTTATTGATTTGTCTGTTTGCCAGCTCCCAGAAGGCAAGTCGGTCTCAAAGATAGAAACACTCCTCTTCATGGGGCTGAGGTCATCAGCCAGAATCATCACCCTGGTCACCAGCGTGTCCAGCAGCTCATAGACCTGGAAGGACAGGACACACATCACAAGTCAAAGTTCCCTCTGTGGACAAGGGATCCTCAGCCATGCTACACGGGTGACCATAACTAGCTCCTGGAGAGAACTACTGGGGCACCGCAAACCCCGAAGTTTTTAATATTTCTGCAGAACACTTGTATTTGCAAATAATGGTATTTTCCAAACAGTGTTTGCAGGGAGGGGTTTCGCGCTGTGCTTCTGTGAGCCATGGGGGCATTAGAATTTACAGATGGGAGATCAGGTAGCAGTGGCCAGTTGGCTCCTTAGCTGGGCTTCAGCTCAGCTCCAACTTTTTCCAGAGGCTAATATCTCTCCTGGAAAATCCCAGGTCCACACACAGAAAGGTCCCTGTGTCTATGGGTCCCAAACATTCGCTTATACAAGCTGAAGGAAGTTGATTCTTAACTGTGAAGAACTGAGGGATAATCTATCCATGAGTCCTCAGAGCCTTTTCTTTCTAGACCCCCCCCCACCCCCACCCCGCAGCCTTTAGAAATCTTAGTAATATCACCAGCAGCCAATGGGGTTTCTGGTCCACCGAGATCAGCAGCATCGCTCCAACCTCAGGTGCGCCCTGCCAGTTCAGTTCTGCCTTTAGGCACTTGGCATAGTTTGCATGGGGGTGTGAACCTTCTCCTCCCCCCCAAAAAAAACCCACACAACAGGAACAGTAACAAAACACCCTGCTGCATTGTTTAGGTGCTGCTGCTTAAGAGCCTGTGTCCTTATCTAGCCTCTCCAGTGTTGCTACCTTTGCTGTTGATGGAAACCCATCCTACACGGTATTCCCCTAAGGGATGAATACATCTGCTATGACGTGCCTAACCCAGAGAGGAAGAGGAAGCAGCAGAATGAGAAGGGCTTCCGGTCTGTTCCCCTTAAGTCTTATTTCCAACCAGCCACTGTGATCTTTTAAAGCCGACATCGGATCATGTCACTCTGCCATTTAAAACCTGATGTGGCCTCTCATCTCAGAGGAAAACCTAAAGAAAGAGTCCTCACAGTGGCTCACATGGCCTGCCCGCAGGGCCTCTCTGGCTGTCTCCCCTTGGGGCTCTCCCTCCCTGTCTCTCATCAGGCTGGTCCACTCCCTCCTTCCTGGGATGGCCACAGGGTCACACCTCTCCCCTCTTTACTCATGTCACCTACCCACTGAGACCCACCCAGCTCCTGCCACCGAGCTACCCTGCCCAGGCCTCCCCGTGTCCTTATCTTTCTCTTTCCCATCGTGTTTACCACTTAGCATGCCAGATGAGTTACTCATTGATGAGGTCTGTCTCCCACACTCGCATGCCCTTCACAAGGGCAGATCTGCTTCAATCACTGATGCAGCAGGTGCTGGGAGGTTGTGGAGTAAACCCAGTGATGAGGGAGGGAGGGAGGGAGACAGGCTGGCAAGCATGAGGCAGTGGAGGGCTGGGCTCTGCGCTCACCTCTGAGTGCAGGCTCTGGATGTATGCCTCCATGACCAGGGGGTCGATGGGTTCTTGGGAGGGGCTGAGACTGTCAGGGGTCATGTCATCCATGAAAACCCTGTCCCGGCTTGTAGATTTCATTAGTTTCTTGTCATCCTTTGCTTTTTGCTTCTTGCTGTTTATACGGTCCTGCTTGGAGTAAAAAACAACAACCAAAAACCAAACCCATGTGGCTTCCAGTGGCACCTGGGATGCAGGGAACTGGGAAAGCTGGGAAGGTCCTCGCAACCCTCCCAGGCCCAGGGCATCTCCCCGCATGCCTCTTTCGGTAACTTGGCTCCTTTTTTATCCTCTTTGTCTTTGATTCCTAGTTGCTTCTTTTCTTGGTACGGCCCTTTCCGGTCCTCCTTCCCGACTCTGCCAGCAGTCACCTTCACTTCCATGACAGGAGGTAATTTGTGATCTATAGGAGTTGAGGGGAAGACAACATGACTTAGATGAGGGCACAGGGCAGGAGACATATGGAGGAGGGTACGGAGAGCAGAGGGTGAGAGCCTTGCGCCCTGCCGGCTGTTCTCGGCAGTTTTAAGTGACCAGTCATTCACCCTCTGTGGGACTCAGCTTGCATGAGATCCCAGGCTCCCCAATCCTGTGAGCAGATAGAAGGAGGGTAGCAGGGGACTCCTCTATTCGCTCAGCTGACGAGAGGTTCCACCACAGGGACAGAGATGGCCGAGGTGACCAGGTAAAAGGGAAGGGAAGTTGTGCCACGTCTGACCTTGCTCGTCTGGCCCATCCAGATAGATGGTCTCCTTCTCAGGCAGGCCCAGCAGAGCCCGCAGCCACAGCGAGTAGCTCACGAGACTGTCAATCACATTCCACCACAGCTGCAAACTAGAGGACAAAGCATATTGGAGCAAAGTTACTATCCTTCACTCGGCCTTGAACCTCCAGCCAGAACCACCAGAGCACGGAATCCTCCTCTTGGAGGAGCCAAACTTTGCAGCAACCTGAGCTCAAGGGGAGCCCTGCTCTGGGACTGGCTTTCCCAGGCTCCTGGCCAGATGTCCTCACGTTGTTGTTATGTGCCGTCACAGCTGACCCGAGCTGACTCACGGCTGACCCTCCAGCGGGAATGCAGAGGTTATAAGTTGCATCGATTGACACAGTGACTATGACAGTGGGCTCGCGTGTGTCAGAGATGGGCAAAATGGCATAGGATAAGACAAGGCTCAGAACCATTCGCTCATACGGTCGCTATGAGTCATAGTAGACTCAAGGCACTTAATGACGAAGTTACCTGCGAGGAGACTGCTCAGTTTTCTCCCTCAGGGTAGCTGGTGGATTCGAGCCACATGCCTTTGGGTTGGCCGTGCAACTCCTTACCACTAGGCCAGCAGATGTCATCAAGGGGAGGGAGGCAAAAGGCAGGCTTTCCTGGTGGGGCACCTACCAGTTCTGGTACAGGAAGTCTGACTGCTGCCGTGTGGGCTCCTGACACAGCTCCAGAGCCCCTCTGTTAAGTCTGATTAAGGCTTCTTCTTGGTAGTTTTCATCAGGAAGTGCCATCACTGCCTAGCAGGATCACAAACATCATGGGGAACCGCTTAGCCCTGGGACTCCAAGGGTCCCTGTGTCCTCTAGTGCTGGGCGGTGCTGGGCAGAGGAGCGTAGAGTTGGAGGGGCTGTAGCCATGGAGAGGTACCTTCTGTGGAAGCCTTGAAAGACTATTCTCATGAGCCCCTCGTGCACACTTGGACTCTCCCATCTAAAGGTAGCCTTCTCTGGGCCATGAGAGCTTGTCTTTATCTGGGGCTTGTCTTTCTCATTTGTTCAAGGCCTGAGCAATCTCTACCACCCTGCCAGGGTCTGGGAGGCACCTTTTTGAAGTCGTCCAGACAGAGGTTCCATTCGGGCACGGGTTGGCTCTCGGACTCCAAGGGGCTCCCGGTGCTCTCCATCTGGGGGATCTCCTCCTTGGTGGTCTTCCACGGAGGAAATTTAGATCCATGCTTCTGGGCTCCGCCCTCGGACCGGGATGGGTGGCCCCCCAAGACAGAGGCTGACTGGGCCTGGGGGTGCCGGGTCCTGGAACTGAGCTGCTCCTCCTCAGCCAGCCTGGCGTCCGGGGCTTTGGGGGGCACCATTATGTACTGATGCCACATCTTGTGCAGGTTCTGGACCACTGGGTGCTGGTAATGGAGCTGCAGCAGATGAGCGAAGGCATGTGAGGAAGGCCTGGGTGTGGGGCACCCGAGCGAGATCCCTTCTAGTTTCCCACTTCCTCCCTCAAAAACCTGGAGAGAAGAGACAGGGAGGAAGCTGGTAGGGCAGCTAGAGCGGCTCCCCACTACCCTTTCACCTGAGCGTCTCTAATTTCAAGCACTTTTTTTTTACATTGTTGTTGTCTCTGTTAGTTGCCTAAGAGTCAAGCAGAACTGGCAGCAACCCTATGAACAACCAGTGTGACCCTTCCTCTGCCCTCACAATCTCTGCTAACTCCCGAGCCCACTGTTGCCGTCACTGTGCCAGCTCATGGCGACTGCTCTTTGCCATCTTTTTCCCCTCCCCCTTTCCCAGCATGATATTTTCCCCCCAAGGATGGTCCCACCTAACAACAGGCCCAAGGTACATGAGATGAAGTTTCTACATTATGATTTCCAACTAAGATCGGATTTGAATGAAGGGATTTGTTCTGTTCTCATCAAAGAGCTATTTCCCAGGAACCTTGGGACATAACCCCTGTGCCTTAGATTGCTGACCGTGAAGTGGAGACATTAACCACTCCAGGGGTTCAACTTTCAGCCAAACCATAGAGAGGTCTATATGGTGACCAGTGACACCGGTGGGGCACTCAATCCTTAGGGGAATCAACCTTATAAGGTCTAAAGGGCAGCATTTGTCAAAGAGAAAGCCCACAAGGCAGGAAGTGGTAGAACAAAGGATTTGTGGAAATGAGACATACAGGGAGGAAGTGGGGGAAATGAGATGGCATCGGGGATATTGTGATTGGCATTACAAAGCACAATGTGAATGACAAACCAGCCTTCTTTGTAAGCAAACTACAATAAAAAGTACATTGGGAAAAGAAAGCAGCTGTGAGGAAAACGTTACTCCCACAAGAGTCTCAGAACAGGCCTGCTTTACAACAGGGTCTGTGACTCCCATCGTGCAGGCGTGCACGTGGGGCAGAGGCCAGCGGGGGCTCTTACCAGGGGATTCCTGTAGTGGAACAAGTCCTCCTCAGTGACATAGGCATCCACGGGGGAGAAGGAGCGCTCTGGGGTGAGGATCCCCTTCTGCAGCTCCTGCACCAGGCTGTCCACAGTGGTCAGGGCTTCACGGGAAGTCAGCTTATTCTGGAAAAAAGAGAAGGGCTCACAGGATGGCAGCCTGCCTTTCAAAACTCATCTCCTGGAGGCAAGCTGGGTCCTTCAGACTATGTGCCTCGTTGAGTGTTGAGTTCTTGTCACTTCTACATCTGTCTCTTTCTCTCTCATACATATCCACACCCCTAGTCCCAGGCTCAAAAGAAGAGGAAAAGGATGCAGAGGAAGGCCTGTCCTAGAGAAGAGCTGCTTGGGTGGTGGACCAGGCGACATGGCATTTCTCCGGATTAGGAAGAAGGGCGGGAGGTAAGGGAAGCACAATTTGGATTCTCCAGGGTGGACGGTATCATGACATCTGCTTGCCCACAGGGTTGGTCGCTGTTACAGGACACACAAAGGGCAGCTAGGGTGAGTGTCAGACCCTTGAGTCAGCGAGTAAAGTGGAAACGACACAGTTGCATAATGACCTTGGATCACTGCTGGCTGGACCCTGCTAATGTAATTGGGATGGGTTTGGGGGTCACACAGAATTAGAAACCATCAGGGGACAGCAGCTCTCCCCAGGCCTCATCTCACACTCGTACCCACAGGTGCACCTCACTGAACCCGTGGGTTAGATGGTGGTGGGTAGATGCTTCTCACTGTTTCAAGTGTCCTCTTTGGCTTGTCTGACTTAGAAATCCTGCCCATTAAAAAGCAGCTCCACTGTCAAGTACCAGGTCGTACCAGTGGCATGAACGGGCCTCAGTTCTATTTGGATTCTAATAACTACTTAGGCCCACAGCCTAAGGCTCAGTCTCATTTCTTTTCAATTAAGTGGGGGGCTCCCCTGCCTGGTGGGGCTGAGAGCAGCTCACCCATCTTTTGCGTCACAAAGCCCTGGAAAGCAACTCTTTGGTGAGAGTAGTTGCCTGTTTGCAAAAAGCAGCAATTCGTCCCTGGGTTCTGGAGAAACAAGATCCCTGCCCCATTGCCAGGTAGCACCTCAGGGTCACCGATCAGGTGTCCACAGGGGAAAGAGCCTGAGGTCCCTACCTGCAGTGACATCCGGTCCTGCCTGGAAATGTCTTGGGCCAGGGAGATGGCATGCAGATTGACTTGCAAGAGGGCACCTCCTAAGACAGTGGGGTGAGTTCTAAATTCCCATGATTCCCTGAAGATCCCAGCATCCAGAGACTTGAAGGAGAAGGTGAAGTTCTTTGTTTCTCCAGGCAGAATCACTCCTGAGTTGTGCAGAAACGGAGGTTTCCAATGAGTAAAAACTAGCTGAACCCCGAGCATGTGTGTATATAGTTAACTCAGTAACTGAGCCCCTAGTTAATGTGCGTCTATGTAACCAAAGCTGCAGGCAGGGTGACCAGGGCTGAGGGCTTTCCTGGGATGTGAGAATTTCAATTCCGAGACTGGAAAAGCCCCAGGCAAGCTGGGACAGAGGGTCATCCGAGGCCCAGGTCTGTGTGGATAGGTAACTGGACCCCTAGACTATGTGTTTCTGCTCCCAAGTGGCTGGCCAGTTTGTATGCTCAAGAGCTCCACTTTTTGCCCATCAGATGGGAATAGTTAGGCCTCACACACATGCACAGGAGAAATGAAAAGGGCTGGAGCTGGGGGTTATAGGACTCAAACTTGTAGGAGCTGGGCAGTAATCAGGCTCTTGCTTTTCACAGAGGCTGAGGACAGGTCAGCTCCAGCCAGGACCTGGTGAGTAAGGCAGAGTTTCCTAGATACCTGCCCGGTTGTTAAAGTAAAACCGTTGGGTCCTGTTTCTTGTCAAGTCTTGGAAGGATTGCAGCTGGGCCTGCCGCCGCCAGTCGTACCAAATGGCCACCGTGCCATTATTAACCACAGTCAGTTCTGAAGATGTTTTCTCCCCTTCTACAGTTTCAAAAACCATGCAGGCAGCAATTCCAACCTGACCCTAGAGAGGGAAAAGGTATGAGAAATGGCTTTGCTGGAGGCCCTGGTCTAAGGTGACTAACTTGCCCCTTTATGACTGGAAATGTCTCGATTTTAACAATGGAAGTCCCACATCCTTGTCCTCACGGCCTGTTATTGTTGTTATGTGCCATCTAGTCAGAACAGACTCCTAGCTGACCATCCAGCAGATTTTCAGAGGCAGTAAATGGTACTGGAGGAGACTGCCTATCTTTCTCCCATGGTGGATTTGAATAGCATACCTTTGGGTTGGCAGTGCAACTCCTTACTCATAAAGTCACCAGAACTCACCAGGATCCTTCAGAGCCTGTTGTGTTGTGTGCCAGAGGTAGATTTGAACTGCATGCCTTTGGGACTGCAGTGCAGCTTCTACCACAGGGCCACCAGAGCTCCTTCCGAGCCTAGCGATCCTCAAGAGGAACGGCACTATGCCCTAACAGTGGCTGTCTCTGAGGATGCCAACAGCAGTGAAGAGCTAAGACAGAGTTTATAGACAGTGAACATGGTTGCTTCTAGAACCTTCTTAAAACAATAGCTATTTGGTATGTTTTCTTTATTTACATGCTTGGGGGTGGGTACAAACTGGGTGCCTTGTGACACTCTCTTTTTAGCCCTGTGAGCTTATTCTTGTTCAAGTCAGTGTTGCTGTTACCATTTTCAGATGTGTGAGTGTGTGTGACCAGATAAAAAGGCAAACCAGGAGAGTGTGTGGCTCTGTGTGAATGCCAGTGACCTTGGGACCGCACCTGAGGGAGCCCTTCCCGCACGTGGCTGAGGGTGAAGGCTGCCTTACCTTGTCCTGTGGGTTACTGCCTCTGATCCAGAACGCCCGCTTACCACAGAACAGCAGGGAGGGGCCGAGAATAGGCATGGAGACATCAGAGCTACTGGTCATTAAGTCTCTGTAAGAAAAACCACATTTTCCTTGAAGGTGCCACAGTCATGCTGCGTGGAGCTCACACACATGGCTGCCAGGATGTCTAGAGAAGCCGTCCGCTCTGTCCTGCAGTGGAATATGACCAGCTTCACTTGAACTCTGGTAAAATCCAGAGGCTCTTCAAGGCCTCAAGACAGAACTGTTCACTATGTATAGCAGTACAAGAGTCTGAAGGTAGTCCCTTTTCAGCAACAGCATATCTAGGAAATCTACACTGAGAGCTGCTTTCTGGAAAGGGGCAGCTGGGAGTGGAAAAGCCCGCACAGGTGCTGGAATGAGTGAGAGGAGGTGGGGGCAGCTGCCAAGGGGGAATTGGGAGGGAAGCACCTGGACTTCAAGGAAGACAGCCTGTCAAAAGCTTGTGGTGCTGAAGGAGACTGCATGTTCTCAGCCTCTCTCCCTGCAGCCCAGACCTGACTCACAAGCTGACTGTGTCTTCAGAGGACGTTTCCTCGATGTTTTCAAACAGCTTATAGTCTTCTACCGTAACTGCTGAGAAAGGCTTCCCTCTGCCCACCACCTCCAGGCCATCAATATCCTTAGAGAGACCAGAAAGAGAGTATTAGCCAACTGAAGACAGGTACCACCTGGTGGGGCTTCAGACTGGGGCACAGGGGCGTTACCAACCTGCTGGTTAAAATCCAGCTCAGCCAGGACATTCTGTAGCTCTTTGCGGCGGTAAATCAGAAACAGACTCCGATCCCAGGTGGAGCGGTACCAGGCATCCTTCTGATCTGGTAGCCCTACAGCAGGGCCCAAGGACCCTCAGCAAAGAGGCCTTCCCACCACTTCCTGCGGTCTCTGACCGTGCCCACCCAGCACTCTGTCTAAGAAGGGTTAAAACACAGGTTCCCTGTGGCCGCAGAACACTAATCTTTGTCCCAAAACTTTCTCAACAGTGCTAACACAGAACACCCACAAAACTGGCCTCCACAGAGCCAAATCTTGGCATTAGCAAGAAAAGCTGTAGTGTGTTGACTGCTACCCAGGGAATACTCATAACCACCCTCCAAGACAGTGCTGAGCCCTACCGAGCTTCGAAGGCTGTCGATCTTTACAGATGCAGACTGCCATGTCTTGCTCCCAAGAAGCAGCTTAGTGGGGTTTGAACTGCTGACCTCTCTTGGTTAGCAGCAGCCCTTTAAACCACGGTGCCACCAGGACTCTGGAGTGGCGGATGTGGTTTGGGATTTTACTATAGGGCAGGACCTCTGAAGACGCGCTGTCTCATTTAACCCTTGCACAACCCTGTCAGGATTTACAGGAGAAGCTGAAGACCAAGGAGGCTGAAATGACCCGCCGAGATCACAGACCCAGTGCTGGCAGCCTTGCCGGGCTCGAGAGCAGTGCAGGAATCTACGTGTGCACAGATGCATGCCATCAAAGTGATTTTTAATAACAATTTATTTATCCCAATATATCATTTCAACATGCTGTAGAAGGATGATTCACAGCATTTCTTTCGTTTCATTCTAATCTCTGGAGCCCAGTGTGTAACCCATATCCCAGCTCTAACAAGTGCATCTCAGGTGTTTGGTAGCTGTAAGTGGCTCATGGCTGCTCTACTGGATGGCATGGCGCCACAGCCTACGCTCCAGCTGTAGTTTTTCCCCCTTACTATTTCTTATTGCTTCTACTATTTCTGTCACCATTCTACTGAAGAGAATAACGGCACTCAGCAAAGTTACGTGACATGCGTAAAGTCACAAGGCTATGTGTGACTGGACGAGGTTCCCCCATCCTGGGTCCGTCACACACTGACCACAGCACCCGCCATTACCACACCATCCTACCTCCTGACGCCAGCCACAAGATGCCCTGCTCCTCACCCAACTCTGCCCTGATGGAGCGGGGCTTCCTGACGTGAGTGATGGGTTCCATGAGGCCACGCTGTCGTTTTGTCTTTGTCATGACCAGACCTGTTATTTCATCTCCCACATATTCCAGTCGACTCCAGAAGCCACTGTTCTCATCGCCACACTGGCCAGGAAGAAGAGATGAGAGAGGTCACCTGGACAGCGTTGGGCAGTGCAGGTTGAGAGCAAAAGCATTCAAGCCACAGATATCCCCTCATTTGTATTCATCACGGCACCACTGGATGCCCTGTTGCAGCGTTTACCTGCCCCTGGAAATCCAGCGTGGGTCAGTGCAGGCCCCGCACTGCGAGGCTGGAACACACTGTGGTGTCCTGGGTGATACGCAAGCTGCAGCCTGAGCTCTCAGGAGACAGATACTCACTGACCGTTCTGATTACTGAGAACCGGTGACATCTTTCTCTTCAAATTGACCACCACTCACTGCCACAGGGTGACTGCCTAATGGGCTAGTCTCCTCCTGCCCCTAAACCCCCAGATAGTTGATTTTGACTCATAGCAAACCCATGTTAAGCGGAGTAATTGTGCTCCCTTAGGGTTTCCAGTGGCTGGCTTTTTGGGAAGGAGATCACCAGGCCTTTCTGCTGAGGAACCAAAGGTTGGTGGGCTCCAACCTCTGCTCTTTCAGTTGGCGCCACCTAGGGACTCTGACTAGCCTCTGAGCACCCAGTAACCAGGTCAGTGATGTCACCTGTCAGGGTCTGCAGGCATGACAGTGCTCTGCAGTAGAGAAACGTTCTTCTCCCCATTTATGCAACCTGAGACACCCTAGCTTTGTTCAGAGCCCCTCCGGACAGAGCCTATGGGAAAGGCTGCCCCTACCTTCCCGTCATGCTGCGTGGGAAGGGCACGATCAATGCACTCTTGCTCTTCCTGAATCCGTCGGTAGGCCTCCCCAGCATGCATCACCAGGTCACCAACCGGCTTCTTCAGGTGTTCTAGAAACAGCAGGCTAAGGATGCAGCCCCTCCACCACACCAGAAGAGGCCCAGTCACCCGCTCACCAGGCAGACGTCAGGATGCACTAAGGCTTAAGAGTGGAAAGCTCTCGGGTGGGAATGGCACAGACTCCAGCCGCACCAGCCGGAGTCTGGGGTCTGGACAGGTGTGGGGGAGAGAAAGCCAGCAGGGCCCTGGTGCCAGATGGAGGCCAGGCGGGCGGCCTGTCCATTTCACTCACTGCTGAGGGCTTCCTGCTGCTGCTTCCGCAGGGCAATGTGGCGCTGCCAGTTTTTCAGAAAATTGTGTTGAAGAGATGGGGTCCAGAGATGTTCCTTCTCTGCTTTGGGAGTTTTGGGGAACTTTGGCTCATCTTTTGCTGAGATGAGGGTTAACAGACAGGGCGGAGTGGGTATCTGTTCCGCCAGCTGAAAAATACAACATATGTGTGCAGCGGGGGATGAGGAAGTGTGGACTGCGGAGCCAAGCAGAGTTACAGGAGGTCAGCATTCCCCTTGGGGATCATCCCACTCCCACTAAGAACCCCTCTTCTCCAGGCTCCCAAGGTAGCAAGCACAGAAGAAAAATCACAGAGCCAGAGAGCTTGGAAAGCAGGTCAACAACTTTTAGGAATCATGATCAAACACTCTGAGGAAAGGGACTGCTGGTTCTGGAGCTGTGGGACCTTAGTCTTGGGAGATTTTGAGATCAATCGACATAACACAGCCCTCAAAGACAATGCTCTACATCCTACTTGGGTGAGCAACAACTGGGGTTTTCAAAGCTGGGGAGGAACCATCTAAGGTGAAACTATTAGTCTTTCCATAACCAGAAGAAAGAAAAGGGAAGAAAAGCAAAAATGTATCAAAACAACTTAGCAAATACTGGTGAGGTTCTTATTCATTGCTGGTGGGAATGTAAAATGGTACAGCCAGTATGGAACACCATCTGGTGCTTTCTCAAAAAGTTGGAAATAGAAATACCATTTGACTCAACAAGTTCACTACTGGGAATATACTCTGAAGAAACGAGAGCCATGACTCAAACTGATGTATGCACACCCAGGTTTATTGCTATGTTATTTACAACAGCAAAAAGACAGAAGCAACTCAAGTGCCCATCCACCAAAGGAATAGAAGAAAAGCTATGGGACATTCGCACAATGGAATATTATGTAACATTGAAAAACAATGAACTCATAAAACATTACACAACATGGGGGAGTCTGGCAGACATTATGTTAAGTGAACTATCTCAGTCACAAAAGGACAAGTACTGTACAAAACTGCTCTTATAAAATAGGACAGACATGGGGGAGGTTGAGGAGAAAACGGATAGATAATGAAGATCTCAGATCAGTGTAAGAACACTACATTAGATCAATGTTATAACGTGTTAGATCCATGAGGAGAAGAACTGTCAGAAACGGATATACGAATAGGCATTCTATGTATGACAATATCTGGAACAAGGGGTGCATTGCAGGAAAGGCTGGGGGAAGGAGCAAGAAAATGTGGAACAATAAAAAAAAATTAAAACATTTTCAGTGTTTTTAAACCTCCCCCCCAAGCAATTAGTACAAAGGATTAATGGACCTGCACAACCATGTTGATTGCTGCATTGTTCACAATAGCAAAGAGATGAAAGCAACCCAAGTGCCCATAAACAAATGAATGGATAGAGAAGCTGTAGTATATTCACACAATGGAATACTATGCAGCACTGAAAAAACAAGGAACTAATAAAATATACAAAATGGGTAACCCTGGAGGACATTATGCTGAGTGAATTATTTCAGTCATAAAAGGATAAATTACTGCATAATGTCACTGTTATAAAACAGGACTGAAAAGAAAATAGGGGGAAATGAAGAGGGGATAAATAATAAACACTGTATTGAAATAGATAAAGAACTGTCTAAAAGAAAGAAATAATTAGGTATTATTTGCATGACAATAATCCAGAATAAGAGGTACATAGCAAAGTAGACTGGGCGACGGGGGGAGGGAAGAAATTGTGTAACAGTGAAAAGATCTTTTTAAAGAAGAAAGTGAACTGGGGGGTGGGGGTTAGGGAGGGAAATGTGCAACAATGAATAAATGACAAATGGACCATGTAAACCTCAACATCCATGACCCTGAGGCCAGAAGAACTAGACAGGGATCAAATGAGATGGTCCTAGATAGAGTAGGGGGGAAAGTGGAACAGAACTCAAAAACATAAAAAGGCCCGGCTTCCCGGTCCATTAGAGACTGACGGAATCTCTGAGGCTCTGGCCTGAGGTCACCTTTTGAACCTGAACAAAACTCACTCCATGGCTCAACTTTCAGCCAAACATTAGTAAGTCCTATAAGATGACCAGTAATAACAACAAGCACTCACGCAGAATAACTAACCGAACCATAGAAGGTCAAAGGAACAGCATTTGCCCAAGGATAAGGCCAGAAGATAAGGCGGAAAGGACAAAAGGATTACTGGAAATGAAAATTACAAGGGAAAAATGGTTAAGAGTGCGATTATATGGTGGCTATTGTAATTAATGTTGTAAAACAAAATGTATATGAATGTTTGAATCAATTTCTTTTGTGAACTTTCACTCAAATCTGTTTTAAAAAACCTCCTAAAACCAAAAAACAACCCCAAAAGCATCTTTTAATTATGTGTTTTTTCTTACAACTGATGGTAAATGACCTCTGTACCCCAGGTCCTACAGACCCTGACACTTAGAGGGTCTTTTCCTAGGATCAGGGAAGCAAGGCACTGAACAATATAGGAAGAAGCCCTGTGTATGCCAGGGTCAGGAAGATGGATTAGCTTTCCACGTGGCCCTGGGAGCTGGGGGGAAGCCAGCCTCCACACCACGTGAACCGAGGAGAGCTGGCTCATCTTCAGAGGAAGGTGAATGAAGCCAGTGCACAGAGGAACAGGCAGAGGAAGGGGCAAAGGCCTGAGCCTGAGGCTTTCCCAAGTGCAGGCGACTCGGTGCCAGATGCACGCTGATCTTTGGGTTCCTAGAGGTGCCTCCGTTTTTTATAGTAAACTCTTCTCCAACCAAAGGCTTAAATTAGATTCTGCAGATTCTGTAACTTGCAATTAAAGTGTCAACTCTTTCAGGGCAAGAGTCTTCTTTAACTGAAGGCCCAGAGACTAGACTGACTCTTTAACTTGATTTCTGCTTGATTACCAGGTGGGAGGCTGAAATCACTCCAGCTTCTCACCTCTTTGAGGCAGCTCTGCACAGCCTGTAAGGTAACCTGTAACACCAGGGAGGCACTTACTCCTTAGAATAATCACCCAAGTAAGGTCAGAAGGACCACATTTGCCCAAAGATGAAGGTAGGAGAGAAGGACTAATGGATATGAGAGTCACAGGGTGGAGTTGGGAAGTTTGTGACTACAATATGGGTCTGTTGTTGCTGTATACCACCGAGTCTGAACCGACCCACAGCTGACCTTCTGGTGGGTTTTCAGAGGCAGTTAATCTCATGAGAGAAGACTGCCCGTCCTTCTGCGGAGCAGCTAGTGGATTCGAACCACCTGCCCTTTGGATTTCAGCACAACTTCTTGCCATTAAGCCACCAGAGCTCCATCATTATGGGTCTTGTAATGAGTATTATAAAACAATTTATCTTGGAATTAATTTTATAAAACAATGTGTGTTCCCAAAACCACCACATGAGACAGACCTCAAATCTCTTGCTGAATGGTAGGATGGGAAAGCAGTTTGAAATGTAACTTTTTACTCAACTCACAATAACTGGGAAAAACCAAATGAGAAAGAATCGGAAATGATCACAAAGTACAGAAAACCTGCTTCCGTCAAGCTAAGCACAACGTGGAGGAAATCGAGTGAGGGACATGCGCACTGACATCCACCAGGATCCAAGAGGCGTGAGAGGCTTGTTCACCCCCTGAAAATCCAACCCACGTGTCTAGCCTGCCTGCAAACGAGAGAAGAAAAATCACATGATCATCTCAAAAGATGCAGAAAAGGAATTTGATAAAAGTTAACAGACATTCATGATAAAAAAAAACAAAAAAACAACTCAGCAAATGAGGCCCAAAAGTGAACTTCCTCAGCCTGTCAACGGGCAGCTGTGAACACACTAACATCATAATGAACAGTGGACAAAGATGCCTCCTTGCCAGGAGAGCGGACAAACCAAGGTGTCCTCTCCCACGAATCCCCTCAACACCACCCTGACGGTCTAGATATAGAAATGTGGCAAGGAAGTAAATACAGATTGGGAAGAAAGATATAAAATGACCTCTGTTTGCAGATGGCATGTCTGTCTACACACAAAGTCCCCAAATCCAATACACAAAAATTAGCCTTATTTTCCTATGTTGTCATGTGCCATCAAGTGGGAACTGACTCAGAGTTGACCTTCCAGCGGGTGTTCAGAGACAGGAAATTGCGTAAGAGGACATGGCCCTTCTTTCTCCCGCGGAGCAGCTGGTGGATTTGAACTGTGAGCACGCCTGGGTTGGTAGTGCTGCTCCTCACCGCTAAGTTACCAGCACTTCCTTAATGTCATGCACTAGCCACTGAAGGAGAGGAAGAGTCAGGGACAAAGACCCCCAACTAGAAGGACTGACACAGTGACTACATGAGTATGAGCATGATGGGAAGTTGCGATGGTGGCACGAGATACGGCTGAGTTCAAATCTATTGTTCATTGGATGACTGCTGGGGGTCATAGTGGACTCGAGGGCACCTAACACAACAAAAAGGAGAAACAAAAAAGAAAACTAAGTACACTTTAAAAAAGAAACAAACAAAAAAACTAGCTATTAACAGACCTTGGTGTTGCCTCGAGCAAGTGCAATTCTCTTAAAGTCCTGAAGATTCCCCAAGATGTGGTGGGGCAGGATCTGGTGACTGTCCTTGAAGCTGTGACCGGGACCTGGTGGGAAAAGGAGGAAGCTGGAGCTAGCTGATGGAAGCTCTCCAGGGGGTTACTTTTGATGGAGATCTGCCTCCAAGATGAGGCGTGCCAGGGCCACGACCAGCATACCAAAGTCCAGGGGCTTAGTGGCTGCATCTGGAGGGGCAGAGTGGGCTACTAAGTGGCGGACCTCCCTCTTAAGAGTCTTGGGTTTGAATTTACGGACGATAAATTTCTGGGCAGGTTTAGCTTCCGTTTTCAGGTGAGGAAGGTGTTGCTAAAAAGACAGGAAAAAGAGGCTTATCCCACCTGAGCTCAGGAGGAGGGAAAGCAATACCATCCCCCCCATCTCAATTCTTAGTGGAATCTCTGGGAGCTGACAAATCTGTTTCCCCAGCTCTGCCCACATGCTCTGTGAGGGGAAAGCCTGAGGAAGAGATGTCCTGGAGGGGGGAAAATAACGCTGCATGGCTCCATGCTCAGGGAGGAAGTGGCTCAGGTAAGAAGTTATTTGCCCTCCTGTAACTGTGCACCTTGAACCCATTTTCCTGTGAGGATCAGGGCACCTGCTTCAGTGGGAAACAAGATACCCTATCCTTTTGTTCCCTCTGGGATTCTACATGAACCTCAAAAAAATGTTACAACCCAGTCAATTCCATTCCCTGCTGAAGTGGGCGGTATCGGCATTTAATGGTTTTTCTGTGGAATGAAACACTCTCTCTGCATAGGAAACCAGTGGTGAGAATAGAGTCGGTTCACGTTCTAGACCACACAGGTCAGGAGGGGAAAGTTCCAGCAGGAAGGGAGCCCTGACCTTCGCCCTTACCTTCTTCAGGTCTTCTTTCTTAATGGCTAAGGCAAGGATGTCATCTCCTTGAAGGACATTGCTAACAGGCTCTGGCTCTTCCTGAATAGGGGGTGTGGGCTGCTCAGGAAGCTTTGCCTTTTTCTTTTCTGAAGAGAAGCAGAAAGTCACAAGTGCTTAAAGCATTCTTTCTGTATCTTTATAATCAACTTCAACTCAACTCATTGAATATCCGAGGCTGTCAGGTGGAGACTGCCTATCTCCTTCCCAAAGGGCTGCTGGTGGATTTGAACCACCAGAGACACAGCCTTTGGATGAGAAGCATCACTTCCTATAGACTATTCCATCAGAAAAAAATCATAATTGAATACTAGATTCCAGGGTGGAGTCAGAGCTGGGCACCCAGACATGGAGCAGAGGTGCCTGTCAGACAGCAGCACCTCACTGGGGTCACAGTCTCCCCGGAAGGTCCCCCTGTCCCTCCACAATGGCTGAGGTTCCTGCAGCCTGAACTGAGGTCAGAAGACTTATGTTCCAGTCACACTCACTGCCTATAAGGTGGAAAGACATGGTGAGTGCATCACTTAACCTCTCTAGGCCTGGGGAGCCACATCACTTTAAGTTCCGCAGGTGATTCTGACGCAGGTAGTCTGGGACAACTAGATATGTCCTCAGCCTCTCTGAGTGGTGACACTGACTCACTGTCTGGGTGAGGGAAGACCATTTGTTCCATTCCATAAAAATGATGTTAGCATTTCTTCACATGTCAGGCACAGAGATACAAGCATCTCAGGCCTCAGAGTCAGCCTGTCAAACAGAGGGAACTCGAGTCATAATGGGATACTCCCGGGGCCCCGGTCCAGTTTGTAGGGTGATCAGGGTAGAATTCTTACCACAGTGATATCTGTACTGGAGAGCTGGAGGGAGGAGAGAATTTAGAGAAAGGGATTTAGGGAACAGGGAGTCCCAGGGGGATGAGAGGGAATGGGCACACTCCTGGAACTCAAAGCACGCCCTTTAAAAATAGCTGGAATGTAGTATAGCGAGGTGGGAGGCAAGGGATGGTGGAGCGTGGATGGGGAAGCAGGGACCATATGACTCAGAGCTTAGTGAGCTGTGTTAAAGAGTCCAGTCTTTATTTGGCCTCAGGGCAACAACATGGAAGGGGATGAGGAAGGGATAGGGGTGCAGGACTGAGGATGAAATGATTTAGGAGTCTTCTGAAGGAATGAAGTGACTGATTGCAGACCATGGAAGTGGATGGAGTAGAGAGATGTGAGACGTGTCTTATGTGGTGTCCCAGCATCCCTTTAGGAACACCTGGGGTAGGAGAGGGATTTTCTCCACCAAGGACACTCTCTTTGCCTTCCTTCCACAGAGACAGGTTCATCATTTCAAATACACCTTGTATCTCTAGCTGGTACCCTCCCTCCCTTCCTCTTCGTTGGTTAAGAATTGCTTTGACGCAGGGGCCTTCACAGAGTCAAAGAAACCCACCAACATCTAGTTGATTCTGTCTCACAGCCAACCTACAAGTCAGGGTAAACTGCCCAGAGAGTTCCCATGGCTGCAAGCCTTTATAGAAGCAGCCTTTATAGAAAGCAGCCTGCCTCCTCAAACTAGCGGCCAGCAACCACATTCTTTAATCACCATTCCACTGGGGTTCCTTAAAAGAAAACCTAAAGCCCTCTCAAATGAAAACAGAATTGGCAAAGAGAAAAATAAAACACCTAGAATTTGCTTTTGTTTACTTCTTCTCAGAGCGCCTTCCTCTTGACGAGGCACCATCCAAATGTTATGGTGTTTTGGTTAACAAACACCAAACTTTTTTGTTGTTGTTGTGTTTTTTTTTAGAGAAGAAAAAAAAATAATTCTTCCAAAGATAATTCAAAATCTCTAAACTCACTGGGGTTGACAGAAACTTAGGAGTATACATTGGTTAAAGTGTGTGTATATGTGACACACACACGGCTAAAGGACGTGACCTTGTGTAGCTGAGGTTTGATCTGCTACCACATGTAAAGATCCAGCCTCAGGTGCTGATTTCTACTGTCCCTTCTGTAAAGTCACCAAAGTTGGTGACAGCCCAAGAAATCTGGTCCTAGCTGAAAGTTTGTTTTCACAAATATCTTGGAATTGTATTTTCCAGGACATTTGTTTTCTCTGCCTATCACCCTGGCTGTGTCTCCATCTTCTCAAAAGATTAAACACCTCCAGATGTTTCTTACTGTTGATGGTATAGGGTGTTTTAAATTAGTCCATATAAATTCATAGATTTTCAATGTTGCTGAAGATTTCTGGAGCCAAAGCTCTCGCTTCTCTTGGAGTGATGGAGAAACTATTTTCTCATGTTTGTTTCAGACAGAAGGAGCCTTCATGGTATAGTGGGTTAAGTGCTGGGCTGCAAACCATACGGTTGGTAGTTGGAACCCACCAGTATCTCAAGTGCAGAAAGACAAAGCTGTCTGCTTCAGTAAAGATTACAGCCTCAGAAATCCTGTTCTATTTTGTCCTAGAAGTTTGCTAGGTGTTGGGTGGGTTCAGATTGAGTTGTTAGTGGAACTCTAGTCTGGGATTTTTTTGAGAAGTCATTGTGAATGTAGTACAATTTATGGGAGGAGATTGCCCATCTTCCTTCTTTGGAGCTGCTGGTGGATTCGAACCACCAGAGGCGCTGCCTTTGGTTATTATGCAGATTATACCACCAGTTCCCTAGTTAACAATATATGTGTGAAAACTATAAATCCATCCCAGAGAAAATTTCCTAGGCACTCTTTATGTGCTATAAACTACAGGGAAGACGGTATGGCGTGTTAAGATACAATCCCTCTGTGGAGGAAATGAAAAATGTAGTAGGAACGCACAGACACACCAAGCAACGAGATGTGTATATGCTTACATCACTGACAGAAACAATAGGTTTAGACATCAAAGAAGGGAGAGACCAGGGTGGATCACAGTTTAGTGCATTAACTAAAGGTTCCAAGGGCAGGAGTCAGAAGTGGCTCCACAGGCTGTTAGGCCTGGGAGAACAGAAAGGCTTTGTACAGATAAAGCAACAAACAGAGGTGTTTGGGTGTAGCAAAGGCATCCTGGTCAGAGCAAAGGCAGAGGCAGGACTGAGTGTAACGTGTGTGGCACGGTAACACTGAAGGCTCACTGGGAAAGTGGGGTGTGGTACTGGGGATAGCTGGGGACCAAGGGCATGCTGACTTCGTGTGAAGTACCCCTGTGGCATCTGATCTTCCTCCCGTCATGAAGGAGGGTGGCTCTGGAGTGTGAGGTAATGAAAGCAGCTTCTGTGTTCAGTTCCTCACATCAACTGCAGCTGGGGTGGCTGCAAGCTGGAGACCGGGGGGAGGAAAAGTTCCTTATGGGTCACATCAGGAGTTGCAGGAGTGAGGACTCTGCAGGTTTGAAGGGTGTACCGCTGCTGCGGATCCAGTGGTGATAGTGGTTATCTGCTGTTTGGTTGGAACTGACTCATAGCTGACTCGCCAGTGGGTTTTCAGGGGCAGAACACTGGACGGGAGGAAAGTGCCTGTCTTTCTCCAGCGGAGCAGCTGATGAATGCAAACCGCCTGCCTTTGAGATGGCACCACTAGGCTACCAGGCCCGGCTTTTTCTGATCATTCCCCTTGGTGCTGTCAGACCTAAAGTGGAAGTATGTCCTCTCGCCTAGAAATCCAAGCTGAAGGCAGGCTCCTGCTGAGGCCTTGATCCTGACAAGTATGAAAGCGTCAGAGAGGTCTCTCAAGGGCAGGCAAGTGACCTGCTGGACCCAGGCCACGAATCAAGTGTTCAAGAGGATGTCCACAAACGTGGTACCAACTTCCCAGGTCTCCCCAGACAAGGTCTACCCCTGCAGGTGGGTAAGGGAGCAGCTATGGAGGGAGAAGAAATCAGACCCTGTTTGCTCTGCTTTTTGCTTTAAGACGTATTCTTTTTAAGTGTTTCTTAAAATTTTGGGGACATTCTGAGCTCATGGCTGTGCTGGGAGAACCAAGAAAGGTTCTGTCCCTCGCAGGGCAGATATTGAATTGGTGGAATGGGGAAGATGAGACATTTAGGAGGGGAAGGGAGCTTGCACGGGAAACACTGTTTCCTCATCCCCTCCTCATTCTAGTGCATGTTCTTAAGGGCTATTTAAGCGAATTAAATTTCCCCTTATTAAAAATAAACATGCAGTGAAAAGAAAAATCTATCCTTGGCTTATTTACCGCGGAAAGTTAAAATCAGATTAACATCTCCCAGAAACCAGGTGAGGAGGAGATAGGATCAAGGAGAGTCCTTGACCGCCCTTGGGAAAAGCAATCAGATAGTTCTTTAACTGTTAGAGAAGTATGCCACGAGGCAGTAACACTGTGCAGCCCAAATCCTACTTTTGTACTATGAAGAAGGATGAAGGGGAGAAAAGGAGGTAAAGAAAAAGATACCAAGCTGAAAAGTAACTAAACTCTCACTATTTTTCCCGACTTCGCCTGCCCTCTCCCCTGACTCCAGGCTTGTCTCTCTCACAGCTGAGCTTTCTCTTCACCATTGAAGGATGATCTTCCCAGGGCCTGAGGGAGCATGCTCCAACTCTTGGACGCAGCTCATAAAGCCCTTTCAGGGCTGGCCCCTGCCCACTGTGGTGAAGCTTCCTCTGGCTTTCTTACTGCTTACCACACTCACCCCCTCTGCCCTGGCCACGGTTACCATATAGCCACATTTACCCACAGTTCTGGGCTTCAGGTCACGAGGCGTTGAGTCCAGGAAAAGCAACCTCTCCTCTCTTTCTTTCGGTTTGTGGTAGATGCCACTTTCTTTAGAAAATCTCACCCCTCCTTCCTCACAAGACTTGGATCTAAGCCCCCTTCGTCCCTTAAAGGTTGCTTAGATACCAGCAATGAAGCACTGTATTATCTTTGCACATTTTCCCAGTTAACTTGGAGTCTCCACTAGACTGAGTTTCACGAGGGATGTGCCCACTCGGCATAGTGCATACACACAACAGGCCCTCATTATAGGGAAACAGCAAAGAAAGATCCACAAGGGTGGGCAGTGCATGAATGAAGGTAGTCAGTCGGCTGTCTTGCAGCTGTGGCTTTCTTGCCTGCAACCAGGGAGTAGCTGCAGAGTCCAGGAAGCAAATCATATCCAGTGGCTATCAGGGCACACCAGCTGGACAGGTGTCATCCAACTGGAAAGGGCACGTGGTGGGGAAAGGCAGTCAGACACAAGAGCTAGTTGTGTTATGCAATCCTCTGGGTTTTTCCACCAGAACTCCCAGCTGACATGCCCAAGAACTCCACCAAGGTCATGGGTTTCCTCAACCTCACGTGTTTCTTGCATTCTTCCTTGATTCTCCTTCTCAGAGACCTCATTTCCTTGGTCTTCTAGCCTTAAATTCTTCCACTGGCTAGTCTGCATCCTACTTGGTCAGGAGACCCTGCTCCCTGTGCCTTACTCTGATTAGAAGCTATGATTTCTACCCAGTGTCATCTCTGATCCCTGAAACCCATCAATTCCCCCACTTCTCACGTCCCGTTCCCCAAAGCCCGGTGCCCCGTGACAGCTCCCCGGAGGAGCGTTGCCTTGAACATCACCTCCAGGGCCTCGGCCACTGTTTATCATCCCCAAGGTCCCCTGTGCTCCTTTATCTTGTACATCCTACCCGAGGCTGCTGTGTCCTGCATCCCATGCCCCAGTGTACTTTACTCACATCTCTGCTGGACCCTCATCTTCCAAGTCCCGCGTGCTGATCCCCTCCCAAACATCCCTGGCCTGTCTAGTTCATTTGAGCTCCCAAGGCAGACAGCGCCAACCTTTCCAGTTGTCTGACACCTCAAATAATTTGGTGGTTGGTATTCTGAGGCGGGAATCCTTCTTTAGCGTCTTCATAGTGCCACCTGGGCTGTGAGGGGATCGCCCTGTGCCGCCCGGACTCGCAGACTAAACAGCTGGGCGGCAGCCCCTGCAGCCCGTGCGCGCCCCCGCTCGCCAGCGGCCGTCGCAGTGTCTATAGCAACCGGCGCCCGCGCGGGAGCGCGCACCCACCGAATATCTTGGGCGGAGACTGCTTCGACACCACCTTCTTCATCATCCTGGCGCGCCCACGGCGCAGGCAGCTCCTCCCTGCGGCCGCTTCGAAAAGGGCTCTGTGGGCGGGGGCACGTGGTGACGTCACAGGCTGGCCCACGAGCGCCGAGACGTCGCCGTGGGGCGGGGCCAAGTGGGACGAATGAGGCGTCGGGGTTGCTGGGTAGTCACCATCCGCCCCCGCGCGAAGTTAGGGGGACAGGACGTAGCGGGCATTGCGAGCGTCTTCCGCGTTAACCTGTCCTCCACACTAGTGCCACAGGGGTCATTCATTTCACCACGTGTTGTTGTTGTTAGGTGTAGTCCAGTAGCAACCCTAAGAACAAAAAGATCTGAACCCTGTTCTATCCTGTGCCATCCTCACATTTCCTGACACACAAGAGCCCATTGCGGCAGTCACCATGTCAACAATCTGGTTGAGGGTCTTCCTTTCGCCGACCCTCCGCCCTTCCCAGCCTCATATCCTTCTCCAACCTAGCAACATGTCTGAGGAAAAACCTCATCATCCCTGCCTCCAAAGAGCACTCCAGCTGCACCCTCTCCAAGAGATATCTGTTCTCTTGGCCGTCCTTGGGATGTTCGGTGCTTTTCTCCAACACCACAGCTCAAAGGCGTCAGTTCTTTTTATGTCATCCTTATTCATTGTCCAGGTCTCAGAGGCATAGCAAGTAATCGGAAAGACCATGGCCTGACCAGATGCATCTTAGTCCTCACACTGACGTTGTTGTTGTTGTTGTTATGTGCCGTCGAGTCGCTTGCGACTCACAGCGACCCTATGTACAACAGCTCTAAGCTCTGCTCTGTCCTGTGCCAATCGCACTGTCTCTGACACACCCATCCCGATTGCTCCAGTCACCGAATCAATCCACCTCGTAGTGGGCCTTCCCCTCCTGCACCCGCCCTCCACCCTCCCAAGCATGATGTCCTTCTCCAAGGACCGATCTCTTCTTACAACATGACCAAAGTATGTCAGACGAAGTCTCAGAATCCTTGCCTCCAAGGAGCAGTCTGGTTTAACCCTCTCCAGAGTGAATCTGTTTGTTTTCTTAGCACACTGACATTACTCCTCAAATTTGGAGAGGTCCCTAACTGCAGCCTTTCCCAGTGCAATGCATCTCTTTATTTTCTGACTGCTGCTACCAAGGGTGTTAATTGTGGATCCAAACAAGTTGACAGTTTCAATCTCCTCTCCACCACGTGCTGAGAGCTCCTGAATTGGAGATAAATGCCCATGGCATCCTACTCCGACCTTAGTGGCCATTTCCCTAGCCATTCGCGTGCTCTACCACTTCTCAAACAAGCCAGGCATTCACCCTGACCTAGGGCCTCTTTTATCCAACCGTATCAGTCTTTGGAGATTTTTTTTTAAACAAAAATGACAACACAGTACATTCAAGAATAATTTTAAGAACATTACAGCTGAAAGAGAATAGCATATTTATAGTCTTATTCACTTAAAAAAAAACACAAAGAAACTCAGCATTTGGGGAAAGTACTATTTACAGATTTTCTTTTTTTTTAAAAAAGGTTCTGGTTTCCCTACATAGCCACAATGAGCCTCTATAATAAGCAAGCCCTTAAAGCTCATGGAATTTTAAAAATAATATCATGGGAAAAAGTAAAATAGAATGTATATGAATGGTTAAAACAATGTAAATGAAAAGAGCGTATAAAAATATATATTAATGAAAAAATGTAAAGGAATTATATGAAAAACAGCAAAAATATTTAAAAATATATTCAAACTTTGTAAGTAAAAATTTTATTTAAAAAAAATCATAGCATTCATATCACATCATTCCTTAGCATTTATGATGTGGAGGAGTCATTGACTTTGATCAGGACTAAGGCTGTGTTTGCAGCTTTTCTACTTGCCAGGCCTTTGAGACTTCTCTATAGATCATGATCAGCTATGTTTAGGTTTCTTAGCCTTCTTTTCTTTGCTACCTCTGACCCACCCAAATATCAAGTTGCCTTTCTCTGTAATATCAACTTTATAAACACACTGGTTTATGTTTTTCAGAGCTTTAATGTATTTTTTTTTTAAAAAATGCTTTCTTTAATTCATTTTTGTAGTCCCCTATTGTCAGGCTCACTGTCAGAATATGTGCTGTGTGAGCACAGGGGTCATATCTCCTTGATCTCCCCTCAAGCTCAAGTTTAGAATATAATGTCTCTAACTGTGTGTCAAATAGTGAAGGGAGCGTAGAGCCAGACAGAACCTGGTTCCGATCCTAGCTCTGCCTGCTTGTTCTATGCGTTCTTGGGCTGATCCCTTCACCTGTCTGTACCACATTTTCTTGTTTGAAAAATGTAGGCCACAATGCTTCCCTCACATGGTCACTGTGGACAGTAAATGAGATTATGCACTTGAACTGGTTATCTAGTATTGCTACAATAGAAATAACACAAGTGAATGACTTTAACAAATTAATTTTTCTCCCAGTTTAGGAAGCTATTGTGTACCATAGAGTTGGGAACAATTCATAGCTGACCTTCTAGCACGTTTTTAGAGGCAGTAAATTACACAAGAGGAGGTTGGCCATCTTTCTCCAGTGGAGCAGCTGCAGAATTTGAACTACGTGCCTTTGGGTTGGCAGCACAGCTCTTTATCGCTAGGCCAGACCTGAGGCTACAAATCCAAATTCAGATCATGAGCCCTGGGGAATGGCTTCCCTGCTTTGCTCTGGAGGAAGGTCTTTGTCTTTTCAGTTTCTCTTCCGTAGAGATCTCTGTGTATCTTGGCATCTATTTTACTCTGTCTTTACTCCCTTGTTTAGTCTCAAAAGAGAGTCATTTAAACGCCACCCAACATTGTTGTTGTTGTTAAGTGCCTTCGAGTCACAGGCAACTCATACCGACCCTATGAAGGAGAGTCTTCAATGCTTGTGTCTTTGATGCTCTCTCCAGGTTCACAGGGTTTCTGGAGGCAAGCTATTATGGAAGTGGATGCCACTCCTGCTTCCAAGCCACCCAACATTAACCTTACCTTATTTCCATAACCCAAACATCCCATCAAGTCTGAACCAACTCATTGCTGATATTCTGTTGGGTTTCTGAGACTGTTAGCACATATCCCTATGAACTATGCCACCAGAGCACCCTAGTCCGTTTCCAAAGGAAATTATAACCACTGACAGAGGCTAGGACTTGTAACATTTTTGGGAGACACAACTCAGTCTGTAACACTAACCAACACCATGCTGTCCATAAGCTAGTGTCTTCTCAGCCTGTTCTGAGATGATGGGGATATACTTTGTTCCCATTGTACAGATGGAGGAACTGAGCCACAAAGAAGAGAAGGGTTATAAAATCACCTGACCAGCAGAATCACTCCATTCAATCAAACCCAAGGCCAGTGCTCTTTGGACTCTGTCTTCTGGACCATTTCTGAACCTTTCCCAGGCAGTTAGGGATGATGCCAGCAAGCCTAGCCAGTCCTAGGACTCCTTATAGATCCTTCCTTATAGGACCATGGCCCCTTTTCCATGCCCTTTTTCACTTTAACTCCCCATGAGGGGACAGAAGGTAACCTCACCTCTTCTACCCTCCCAGCCACCATCTTCCTTCTATCCTCTAGGGAATCTCTGGTTTCTTTTACTCCATGAATATTGACTGGGCACTTAAAATAGTTCGGGCTGGTGCTGTGTTATTGAAAAGAATAGGAATCCCAGAACACCTGATTGTACTCATGTGAAACCTATACTTGGATCAGGAGGCAGTCGTCAGAACAGAGCAAGGAAATACTGCATGGTCCAAAATAGAGAAAGGAGTGTGTCAGGGATGCGTCTGGTCTCCATAGCTTTCTAATGTGTATGCAGAGCAGATCATTCTAGAGGCTGGACTTTATGAGAAGGAATGTAGAATCAAGGTTGGAGGAAGACTCACCAACAACTTAGGTTATGCAGATGGCACAACCTTGCTTGCTGAATCAGAAGAGCCTGGAGCATTTATTGCAGAGGGTCAAAGACTGTAGTCTGCAATATGAATTGAAGCTCAGTATCAAGGAAATGAAGATTCTCACCACTGAGCCAATTGACAGCATCATGATAGTTAGAGAAGAGATTAAGATTGTTAACAATTTCAGGTGGCTAGATTCCACAATCAAAACTCTTTGACACCAGCAATCAAGAAATCAAAAGACAAATTTCATTAGGAAAACTTGCTGTCAGGGACCTTTTCAGAGTGCAAAAGAGCAATGATGTCAGTCTAGAGACTAAGGTGCATCTGATACAGGCCATAGTCTTTGCAGTTACTTGCTACACATTAGAGAGCAGAACAACTGATGCCTTTGAGTTTTGGTGCTGGAGAAAAACATACTATGGACTGCCAACAGAACTAACAGATAGGTCTTAGGATGAAACCAAGTTGCTCCTTGGAGGCAAGGATTTTGAAGCTTTATCTTAAATACTTTGGGCATGTTGCCAGAAGGGACCAATCCTTGCAGAAGGATATCATGCTTGCGAATGTGGAGGGACAGCACAGGAGAAGATGACTCTAGATATAGGGGATTGACATAGTAACTGGGGTAATGAGGGTAGGCGTGTCAGAGATAGTGAGATTGGCTCAGGATAGAGCAGGATTCAGAGCTGTTGTGCATAGGGTCATTATGAGTCATAGTCAACTCGATGGCATATAACAACAGCAACAAGAATCATAGTAGACTTGACAGAACATCATATCAAGTGCATTTGGCTTTGCACAGGATGTAGTTCCAGGAATTCCCTGAAACGCATCCATGTGTCTGTGGGTGAGTGTGGCCAAGGTCAACAAGCACCAGGCATAAAGCTGGATTACCTGAAAGTGAATTTGCAGCTCTAATGTACTCCCTCTGGGGTAGTGACTAAGTGCAGCTTAGGGACTGCAGAGTGACTGTTAGGGGAGCCTTCTCAGAAGAGGTGACCATTTGAGGTGAGCCACAGAAGAGTTTAATAGGCAGGCCAGGGAGTGGGCACTCTAGGTATATTATACCACAGGAGGTAACTAGCATCATTAGCTGGCACAGTCCTAGCAGCCTCCTTTCAGCAAAGCAAAGCAACTCTGAGCAACTTCTTCAAACCTAAGGAGTAGAAGGCTGGATAGACAGAAGCCATGACATAAACTATTGCTTCATGTCTCTGTGTATATCCACCCAGCCAGGTGTCATCAACTATTTTTCCCCCCAGAAGCTAAATAGCCTCTATAAATAGAAAGCCAGGTTCCTCCACAGGCTGCAT